CCTCGGCGGCAGCAACCTCGGCGGCAGCAACTGGAGCAAAAGCTTCGCAGCTCAATGATGACCCGATGACGGGATCGCAGGTTGCTACAGCTAGAGCGGCTCCAGCCTCGGAGTCAGGCGTCAATAACTGGCCTCCAGCAAGCTCGAACATCTTTGCCCCAGTCCAACCGATGCTGTATCCGGCGCGGGCGTATTATCCTCCGCGGAATCACGCTGCTCAGACCCAACATCCGATGGACTTGAAGTCGCTGACGAGCGCAGCCGACATCGCGAGCGCCGAGGCGCAAAACTCGGACGCATCGTCGCTGAATCGAGCCTCCTCGCCGACCGGATTCGACAAAGCAAGCGAGAACACAAGTCCCGCAACGGCTCTGAACACGATCGCGAGCACCGGAGGTGATGCTGCGTCGGATGCCACCTCTCTTTCGCCCGATCGGTCCATGTCGTTCTTGGACCTCGATCCGAGGCTCTTTCCGCCCGGCTGGAAGCCGCCTTACTTTGATCTGATGGATCCAGACGTGCTCATGACGACCATGCGTGACCGCACCGTGTGGACCTTTTGGGACTGCTATTTGCCTCTAGGTTGCCGGGACCAGGACATGGTGATGCTATCCAACGACGGCGTTGCGTTTCCGTGTGCTGCTTGGGTACGTGCCACTGCTTTGACCAGCGACCAAGTTTCGGCGAATCACTAACATTTTGATCTCTCTCTCTCCCACACACACTTTCCACACCTCGACCGTCAACCTCGGCATTTCGACACGTCGCTTGCTCGTGACAGAACCCATGCCTCTTCTCGACGTTGCTGGAGCGCGTGATCAAGAACCCCAGCCGGGCCGTCCGCATCATTTTGCAGCGTGGCGCAGAGGAGAATCGCAAGCAGCTCGGCTACACGCCTCTCCCTTGCATCACTCTGGACGAGAACTGGCACGCGAGCAACCTTCTTCTCTCGTTCTTGCATCCCATCCCGACCATGTTCCTGCCGGACCGGGCAACGTGTCGACTGGTGCTGGACCTTGGCATGCGCTACGGAATTGACCGCGCGGTCACGGCTGCCACTCAAAGGCTCGGCCAGCTCGAGCAAGAGGATGCAGCCGCCAAGGATCCGTCGCAGGCGATGGACAAGGGCAAGGGCAAGGCGAGAAGCACCGAGGAAGAAATCGCTGCTAGTCTCGCGCAAGCCGCTGCAGACGCAACGCATTAGGGTGACGAGTGCGGACGTGCACGCCTGGCTTCCAAATTGATATGTGCCCAAAGCGACCGCCGCCGCGGCGATGTCCGTTCATGCTGGCTTCAGCACGGTGACAATCGAGCATTGCGCACGAGC